TCTCAAACTTGCAGTCAGCTCCAGACTCCTCCTCCCAATTGCAGGGCGCTGCGCACTGCTGTGCTGAGTCTGAGCCCCGTGGGTGCCCTTGCTACTGGGGTGCAGGGCCCAGGGTCCACTCGGCGCATTCGCTCCCTGGGCCGCCCTTCTTTACTTTGACTTTCTTTTGGGTCACTGTGGAAGAGAATGTTAACAGGACCGGATGTTGAGAGGAAGGAGACTCCGTGCTCCATCCCGCTCACTGTTCTCTCAGCTTCGCTCGCAGACGCGGGATCCATTGGTAAAACTCAGGATCTGGAAGTAAAGTTTATGTGATACTCTTGAAATAGGGCAGATTAGGAAGTAAGACCCGGAGGCCATAGGATTTCTGTAAGGTTCTTAACCACTGGAACACAGACGAGTGCAGTGAAGCACTTCATACGGCTCTATTAGCCAGGTCTACTCCTGGAATTCCCACACCATGACTGGGTGGGGGCCTTGGCAGCTTGCTAACTGTGTAAATAAGGTGCGTGGCAGTGTGGGGGTGTGGTCATGCAAATGAAGAGCAAGGCCATTGGTCAGCTGTGCCATCCTGCTGGGCTTCAAAAGAGAGCAGTCCCAGAGAAGACGGGATCCCACTGCCCAGTAGAAAAACAGTCAAGAATGGAGTGTGCCCCTTGGACCCAGAGTCCCTGCTCTGAGAGCCTCCTAGACCCAGGACACTGCTGAAGACACAAGATGGTAAGAAATGGCAGTATTACCAGGAGACGGGTGCACCATGGCAGCCAGCGTCCCAGTGCACCGAGCAGGGCAGCTGCAGTGGGCACGCTGACCCATGGAGGGACTCGAGCACCTCTGGGCACAAGGCCTGCTGGCAGAGCAGGATGCTTCCAGCCCAGGCACTTTTCAGTGGAGTTGAGGAGCTTTGTGACTCTTGTCTAAGCTGTGCAGAGACCAAGCTGAGAAGATCCTGTTCTGAACGGGCTCCGGGCTGAGACGAACTTGTCTTCTGGAGGTCAAGTGCGAGGATGAGGCCCAGAGAAACTGTCCCCAACTGAAGAGCTGTGTCCTGAATTGTACCTGTTACTTGCCTAAGAAACTCCGGAACTGTGAGTATTGTCTGGAATTCTCTGTGACCACTGCATCGAATTAACGAATCCAGCAGAGAAGTAGAGGGTGCAGGGGGCGGGCCGGCTGGTGTCTGGATGGGTAGAAAGGTTGGAGACAGGAGGTATGCATGACGTTCACTTAATGGCTGTCAGCTTTGGGTGGACATGCATCTTGGTCCTCTCTCCGTCCCCTTGTGAAGTTAGGTGAGGAGGTCTGATGCCATGACACTATGTTTACAATGAGTGACTTGACTGTAAGACCGGGAGTTGCCTAAATTATGAATTTCTGTGTATTAAAAAAAAAACAATACAGCTTCTTTGTTTTTCTTCAGAATATACAGTAAAACATAGCAGAGTCATGGTTTCTAGTGTACATTTCAGTGATATTGACTACATTCTTGCCCGTGTGTAACCATTCATGCCCTCCTTTTATGGGTCGTTCCTTCTCCATTAACATACGCACCACACCTAAGTGTCTTCTCTGTATAGACAGTTCTTTTTAATAGCATGCTCAAGGTGGGTTAATGCGCTGGACTGCAGAGTCGGTTTGAATAGCAAGTTCGGTGGTTCAAGCTCACCAGCTGCTCCTCAGAAACCCTATACAGAGTTGCTGTGGGTTGGACGAGATTGATGAGCCCCAACAAGAGCAATCTCGGAGCCCTGGTGTGGCGCTGTGGGCTAATGCATTAGACTGCAAAGTCGTTTGAACTGCCAGGTTGGTAGTTCAAGCTCACCAGCTGCTCCTTGGAAACCCTGTGAGTCAGAACTGAAGAAGACTGAAGGGGATAGTTTTTGGCTTAAGGTTTAAAGATGATCTCAGGGCAGGAGGTTTGGGCGCTCATCCAGCCTCAGTGGCTCCAGAAAGAATTCTCCCAACCAGATTTGTTACTGCTTTGGTAGGAGACATCTGAAATTCTGTTCCTCATTTTCCCTCCTTTAACCAGAATCCTTCTAGAATGTTTGAACAACATGTTCAGTGATGGTAGCCAGACACTCTTCAGCTCTGATCTTGTGGCAAAGAGGTCAGGTATTCAGGGAGGCAATTAGCCACAATTCTGGTTCCTTCTCTTCCTGCCTCTCCTTTTCCCTCTGTTGCTCCAGATGAATAGAGACCAGTTGTTGTACCTTGGATGGGCTCTTGCTAGCTTTTGCAACCTCCAGCACAACACAAGCAACAAGGAGGTAGAACAGAAGCGTGGCGTACAATGTTAGCTCAATTAACTGGAAAGTGCCGTGAAACTATGACTTGAACCCAAGAAAACAAACCCTGTAACGTGTTTGGTTGTACATAAACAACATCAGCAATGATCTTTTTATTTTTATTGTTGTTATTAAAATATATATCACCCAGTATTTGCCAGTCCAACTTTTTATAGGTGTATAGCTTAGTGACTTCAAATATAACAGTCGATTGTGTGAGTGTACTGTTTCTGAGAGTCTTAGTAACAAAAACATGACAAGTCACAGGGTTTACAGTGTCTCTGAGGAGAAGGCAAACCAGTTCTCCAGGGAAACTGAACGTTTGATTGTTCTTTGTTGTGGTGTGCTGTGGAGTCGGTTCCAACTCATAGCGACCCTGCATAGGGTGTCTGAGAGCGGCAGGTTGGTTTGAGCTGCTGACCTTGTGGTTCGCAGTCCTGTGCTTATTCTACAGCGCCACACTATTGCTCTTGTGTCTTTAAAATCCCTTAGAGTAATGCCAAAGCAAAACTCAACTGGAAAACAATGATCAAAAACAGTTCGGCGTGACCATAGAGCCTTCTGGTTGTCTGACTTTCCACAGGAATAAAGCTGGGATTTTCCAATAGAATCAATAGGCTGCTTGACCTTCAGATGGTCCTCAGTGAAACAGAATTCTCCCAACCAGGTTTCCGCTACTGCTTTGTTAGGAGACAGCTGAAGCCTCAATTCTTTGATAAAATCACGACAGTACAGCTATTGCAAGTGTTAACTTTGTCCCATCTTAACCCCAGATTCAAGAAATAAAGTCACAACCAATTATTCTTGTTTTGATTTCATAGTTTTAATGATTCACATGATGCATTGACTTGCGAGAGGTTTAAGAAACCAGAAATAGTTTAGAAATGGACAACGTCTTGTTCTTTCCTGCTCAAATTCTTGTTCTTATTAAGTGCCATCGAGTCAGATCCGACTCATAGTGAGCATGTATAGGGTTTCAAAGGAACAGCTGGTGGGTTTGAACCACCGGCCTTGCACTTGGTAGCCCAGCGGCTATTGTACAGTGTTCCCATCTCTCTAATTCTTCCCTGAAGAATTCTGCACTCTTTGATAACATGTCAAAACGGCAGTTCTGGCATCCTCAACCAACTCAATTTATGTTCCTGTGAAGTGTTCTTTGAATCTGGGGAACAAAAAGATATATGAATGGACAAGATCAAGGCAGTAGAGCTGACGGGTTTAGGTTTCCCAAGGCAGTACTTGTAGGACAGTCCCCTTGATGAATCAGCAGATGCATTGCTGTGACGGGAAAAAAAAATTGCCACAACTTCCCTGGTCTTTTACTCACTGATGCAATTTTCAGTTGTCTTAATACTTCTTCATAATAAGCCCCCATGATTGTCTTGTGTCCTTTGAGAAAATCTATGAAGATTGCACATTTGGAGTCCCCAAAATACAGTCACTATAAATAACCTTTTGAGCTGATCTCACTGCTTTGAAGTCGTTGTTTTGATTGGACCTTGTTATCTGGAGCATATTGATAAATTCAAGACTCATTCCTGTTTACAATTCATTCAACAAGATCATCTTCATTAGCTTCAATCTTGCTTTAAAGACTGATGAAAGATCAGCTCTTTGAGCCAGCTGATCTTTGTACAACACTTTTGGCGTCCTTCAAGCTGAAAGCTTGCTGAGGCCAAGTGTTTGCTTAAAGTTGAAAAATGCTGAACCATGTAGGATCCCAGCTCCAGTAGCTATCACACCAATGGGAAATCTAGGGTCATCTTCCGCCAGGTTCTGGACTTCTGCCGTAGTTTCTTCATTTGTTGAGGTTGACAAATGTCTTCCCTCTTGTGGCTCATTGTTGAGATCATCCCAACTTTCCTTAAAATACTTGATTCACCTAAACATTGCTTTATGAAGAGCATTCTCAAAAATATGTTACAAATCTTCAGTGATTTGGGAAGATGTTCACTTGAGTTTTGTTAAAAATCTTACATTAGCCTGACCTCAAAATTGCTATTTGTCCATGACACAAAATTGCATCCTTTTATTTTTGTTTTCAAAGGCAGCCTTATGAAATGAAGACAGGTCTGTTCCCAAGGGAACTTGTCTGCATCCATCCACAGATCCCAGGGACATGTTTAAAGGTTAACATGTTTGGAATCCATCCATCCAAGTATAAACTGGAATCCTGGTAGCAATACTTTTTCACTTATCCTTGTACTGTTAAGAATATTTACATGTTTTGAATCATAATTTATGTGTATACTACTTGGGGGCTTGCGTTTTCTCATTTAAGAGAGTTTCTTAGAACGACTGTTTGCATTACCTCATTGATGTTAATGTGTGGATGATTTTTTAAAATGTTTTATTGAGAATTATGTGATAGTTTACATGGGAGAACATTAGCTTTTCATCCATCCTATTGTGTATATTGTTTCATTGCCATGGTTACAATCCCCTCCATGCATCATCAACCAACCAAAGGGTATACCTGCAAGCCTGCCCCCCGGTCATCAGCACACAGCCCCTCTTTCTCTCTGGGTCCAGAGTCCCCAGCTGCTCCATTGGGTGATGTTTAAAATAGCATGAAGGTGCTGTAATTTTGCCCCATTTGCTTTTTTATGGAAATTTAGACTCAGGCTTAGAAGAACTAATGGAAACCTGTGGTCCTACGGTAGGTGAAACAGCCTCAGTGTATAGAATTTATCCTGGGAAAGCAATCAGAACATGTTCCTGTCCGCCTTGTCCACACCATCTATTGATGTCCTCCTGAGATTGCTTTGGAATGTATTATTCCAGGGGTCCTTATCCTTTGAGGATGTGGCTGTGGGCTTCACCTGGGAGGAGTGGCAGTTCTTGGACCCGTCTCAGAAGGACCTGTACAAGGACGTGATGTTGGAGAACTACAACCACCTGGTGTCAGTCGGTAAGGGTGGGTCATGCTGTCACTCATTGTGGGCCATGACCTGGAATCTGTAGAGCCCCATGGATGTTTAATGTTAGATTAAAACTCTGTAAGTTATAGACTTTTCTTCTCCTCTTTGGCCCAAGAGTGTGTGCTTTCCACTCCTGTGTGCATGGTTTGATTTAGTAATGTACAAGTGGTATGGTCCCTGAAATAAGGTCTTGTCCAGTTTTCTTAGCATAAAGTTTTGGTGCCAAGTGTTCAGTGAACTCCTGTTTACAGGGTACCCAGCTACCAAACCAGATTCAATCTTCAGGTTGGAGCAAGGAGAAACACCCTGGATAGTGGAAGGAGCAATCCATACTCGGACCAGTGCAGGTGAGTAAGTGACAACCAAGGAAATGGACAGAGAGGACATGATGTCAGTGATGGAGGTCATGATGTCAGTGATGGAGGTCATGATGTCAGTGAAGGGTCGACACTCTTGAAATACTGTTCGAAAACTTTTTCTGTACTACCTGAGGACTCAAGAAATCTAACCAATTCCTTTAACATTTCTGATCTTTATTAGAATTTTCCTTTGCCTCCTATGAAAGGTGGCATCTTTAGAGCCCCATGGATCTTGAATGTTTGGATCAAACACCTCCCCTTTTTCCTGTTCTCAATCGGATCACAGTGATCTCATGCAGGACCTTGATGTCTTGCTTGGTTCCATTCTTCCCAGCACCACATCTTTTCCTTTTCTTCTGTGAGAGTCACACTTCCTGCTGTACAACTTCTGGGCTATGGAATCCCCCCTCTTGACTCCTACAGATAGCGTTGAAGTAAACATTGCTGTCTATAAGTTCACATCCCTGCCCCTGCTGAAAGGGTTGTTTTCATTTGCTGACAGTCCCCCTCACACAGTATGAGTATGATCATACTCATAGATTATTAGGGAAGTAACAGGTTATAATTCAGGGTCAGTATGTCATAGGACAGCTCTTGGATCAGGACAGCCTTTGCTTGGCTGTGTCCTTAGCAGGTCTCTCTCTCTGGTACTTGACCTCTCGACCCCTTGGCCTGGCCTCTGTCCTGCTTGGGCACGTGTGAGACAAAGCTCTGAAGCTCTGCCAGTAGGTGCCTGCAGGTACCCTACTCCTCCAGGCAGCCTCAGCCCTAAGGCACTGAGCTCTGTCATTCTGAGCGTGGGCATGCCCACTGCAGCCGCTCGGCTCCTGCTGTAGCATCCTGCACTGCCGGTTTCTTAGTTCTCTGATGTTGCTCCCTGCTGTCCTGCACAGTCTCCAGCATTACACTTCTCCCTGTATGTCCTGGGTCCAGAGGATGTGCTCTGCTCCCGTCTCCTCTCCGTGCTGGTAGTGAGATCTCTCCTATCTGAGTCTGAGATGGCTCATTTTAAGCCTAACAGTGTGGCAAAACTGACCAATCCCCTCACTAAGGTTCCATATACTTTATTTCCATGGAGTCTTGGTGTGGCACTGTGGGTTAATGCACCAGACAACAAGGCTGTTTGAACTGCAAGGTTAGCGGTTCAAGCTCATCAGCTGCTCCTTGGAAACCCTATACAGGGTCACTATGGATCGGAACCGACTTGATAGCACTTAACCACAACAACAACCCTTATTTACCTTGTTTGCATTATTAGCAAATTATCTAATCTCCTTGATGGTCCACAAGCACATTATTTGCATAGTCCACCCCAATCTTTTGTTGAGAGTTGCAAGACCATGGCTAGAAGCCATATGAAAGTGTTCCATCGCACCATAGGTAGAGATCCCCAAAGTGACATTTCTCCTAATTTTTAATTGGTATTCCATCCCCCATATTTTTTCAGTGAGGTCAGCTGCCCTAGGAGTTCCTGCTTCTTCTATGAGACACTACAATCCTTTCTCCCAGACAACTTCTCTTCTCCAACGTGGACTGTATCCCTAGGAACCTCTCATTTCCATGTAGTTCTCTTTGTGGCGAGTCTCATCTGTTTCTCCTCCCTGTTTGCTTTTTCATCTTCCAAGAAGAAGTCCTGTGATTTTTCCAGTCCTGTGATTCTTCTTCTCCACAACAGTCGGTCACATGTAAGCTATTGTTGGTTATTGAGTCCCTAAACTCTACTACAGCTTCTTACTTACACTTTTCTACAATTTCCTCATCCCAGTTGGTCCTTCATAAAACAACCATGTGACCATTGTAATAATTAACCATTGAAAGTCATTCTGCCTCACCAACTCAGGAAGTTCCAGGTGTGCCCTCTGTCTTAGGGGTGTATGATCATGTCCAAGTTTTGTTTCCTTGGGTTTTTGCATTGTCTTCCCTCCTCTTTGATTGGTCTCCATCTAATTTTTGATACAACAGTGTTCGTTCTTATCCTATGATGTCAGCTCAAGTTTTCATCTCTCATGAATGATTATTGAAGATTGACATGTAAATCTGAGTCAGCTGGATAGTAATTAACAACAGCAAATCATTCTTTCCATTCTGTACTTTTCTTATTTCCTTTCTTACCTGTTGTTTCTTTCTTTCCTTTTAACTTAAATAGAATGAAATTTCCTTGAAAACAAACAGTATATTAGTTACTCTTTCAAAAACCAGCTCATTCAGTAAATGGTGCCCGAACAGATTTCTACAACCCTGGATCAGATTCACATCCATCTTCTTTTCCAGTAGGAATTTTTTTCTGTTTCTGCTTCTGTCTCCATTTTGCTGGTGTGACACTGTAGGATAAACACTGGACTGCAAGCCACAAGGTCAGTGGTTCAAACCCACCAGCCACTTCTCAGAAACCCTATACAGGGTCACTATGAGTCAGAACTGACTTGCTGGCACTTAAAAGCAACCACATTTTGAAAGCAGTCCATGTAGTTTTTAGATAGGTAATGATGTTTTTCCCTGTACTTTTTGAACCTCCCGCCCCCCATATTCATTATAGTTGGTTTTCCATACTGGTTTTGACTGGTTTGTTGTTGCTGTTCTCATAGAGGGTGCATTTCCACAGAGTGCATTTGTTATGACTGGATCTTATCAGACACAGCTTTCTGTACCCCCCTCCCTACCTAAAATGATTGTGGATGTTTCGTTGTTCTTTTTCCTAGAAGAAATATGGGCAATTGACTGTATGCAGCAGCACCCTGAAAACCAAAATGAGCTTAAAAGTTTGGAAAGATGTCTGCAAAGTTTTACACTTGGAGATACTTTTGGTTTAATCCAAAACCTAGTTCCTTCAACACAGAGGCACAATATGTTTGACTCACGTTGTGATAGTCTGCATTCGCAGTTAGATTTTCCTATTCACAATAGAAGAGATGCTGAAGAAAATTCTGAGTGGTTTAGTGGTTCTGGGAAATCAACTGTTCTTAGGAAGTATGATAAAACTCTTCCTGGATTTAAAAATCTTGGATATATTAAGCCTGGTAGCATGAAGTCGTCACAGCTTAATGACCATCAACAAGCTTCTATAGGAGAAAAACCACATGAATGCTGTGAATGTGGGAAAGTCTTCTCCAGAAAGTCACTGCTCTTGATACACCAGAGAATTCACACCGGAGAGAAACCCTGTGTGTGCAGTGAATGTGGGAAAGCCTTCACTTGGAAGAGCCGCCTCAAGAGACATCAGCAATCTCATTCTGGAGAGAAACTCTATGGATGTAACGAGTGTGGGAAATCCTTCTCCCAGAAGGCATACCTCCTTGTACATCAGAGACTTCACACAGGCGAGAAGCCTTTTGAATGCAGTGAATGTCGAAGAAGCTTTGTTTTCAAGTCAGACCTGACCAAGCATCAAAGAATTCATACAGGAGAGAGACCTTATAAATGTAATGAGTGTGAAAAAGCCTTTAGAAGCAAGTCTGATCTCATTCAACATCAACGAACTCATAGCCGGGAGAGACCATATGGATGCAATGAGTGTGGCAAAGATTTTACCCACATGTCATTTCTTATCAAACATAAGAAAACTCACGCAAAAGAGAAAGCAAAAAAGTCAATGAAGGTGAGAAAACCTTCCTCAGGGAGACCCAGGTCTTTATATATGTGTAAACTCAGACGGGAACAAAACCCTATGAATACAGCACCTGTTAAAATACCTTCTTCAGGAATTCAGCCTTTAAACGTCTGTGAGCTCCAAGGGGGTAAAAATATAGCGATTGTGGAACAGCCTTTTCAGAAAGTCAGACTTTAATACCTAAGTGGGAGTTTTCACAGGGAGTAAATCTTGCAAATATGGTGAATGTTAACAGTACTTTCAGTATTAAATTATTTCGTACAGATACGATTTAGGGAAATGATAGACACTCTATCATCAGTCTAACTCCTGTGTCGCATTTTTTGTACCTTTAGAAATCTAGAAGGCTTTTCCAATAAATGATATCTTTGTGGGCACCAGGAGTGATGCTATCTAGTGAAAACTGAATAGGATGGTTGTGGAAATACAGCTGTACTAGTTTCTAATTGCTGTTGTAAGATTACCACACATTTGGCAGTTTACCACAAATTTGTTATTTTACTCTTATGGAGATTAGAAGCCCAAAATGGATCCCACAAACCAGTTTCGGCATGGTTGTGTTGCTTTCTTCAGCCTTGAGGGAAGAAGCCTCCTTTAGGTAGCGGTTCCGTTCCGTCCTGGAAGTCAGTAATGGGTGGTCAGGTCTCCACGCTGACACTGACTCATCTGGGAACGCATTGGCTGCATTGGCACAAGATGGCATCATTTCCCTAGTTTAAGATCGGTTTATAGCTATGCTATCATCAGTTGTTTTAAACCTCCTTTGTGGTATAATAGAAGATATTCATAATGTTTGGGGATCTGGACATACACATTTTGGGGAGGCCACTGTTCTGTTTAATATAGTGCATACTGTGACCACCAGGGATTCAGATCCATTCCACATGCAAAATACATTCACCCTACTTCAACATCTCCAAAGTCTCAACCCTATTATAGCACCAACTCCAACTTCAAAATCTCACTTAAATATCAATTTGAAAGTCTCAAATCTTGTATCAATTTTTTAAATCCAGTATGGATGAGGTTCTGGGCCTGGGTTCATCTTGAAGCCTAAGTCCTTTCCCTTTGTCAACTTGTGGAATTCAAGAAATAAGTTATTTAGTCCCCAAATACATTATTCCACCTGGTACCTTAATTATTCTTTGCTGTGTACAGTAAAGAATTCACATGTTCTAAAGATTAGGTTCTGGCCTCTTTGGGGAGGACATGATGCTGCTTATCAGACTATCTTAATTGAATTTTGGAGATGTCTTATTATTTTCAAAAACATTTCTGTAGTTTTCAGAAGAAATTTTATCATGGGTTTGTACTGTTTGGGATTTTTATAATTACTTGAACTGGTTTATGTTCTTTTGCTAAATTTAGGAACATTTAAGCTTTCATTTCTTCAAATATTTTTTACCTTCAGCATCCTTCTTTCCTGGAATTCGAACGATGTGGATGTTGTGTGTTTTGCTGTAGTTCCGCAGGATCATGAAGCGTTATTTACAGATTTCAGTTTATTTTCTCTGTTCAGATTAGGTAATTTTTGTTGTAATATCTGTATAAATTCATTGATTCTTTTATCTTTCTGTTCTTCTATTAAGCTCATCCACTGAAAAATATTTCCCCCCTTTTTTTGGATTTTGGTTATAGTAGTTTTCAGTCTTAAAATTTCTACTTGGCTCATCTTTATCTTCGAATTTATTTCTCAAGACTTTGTTTTTCCTGTTTCAGACATGTTCATGGAGACTTGGTGAAGCTCTCTCCAAAATTCTTGTCAGCTAATGGTAACACCTGTGACATTTAGTGTTGGGATGTGTTGACTTTTCTCAGGGGTATTTTCCGTATGTTTTAGGATTTTCCTTTGTCTCCTGGACATTTTGTGTCTTGTGTTATGGGTGTACTGATTCTAGTTAAGTCTTCTGTATAGCAGTTGCTTCTTTTGCAGTGCTGGTGAGGTAAGGTGTGCACTGCCTCACTAGTGCTGTGTGGGGTGACTGTGTAGGTGTCCTCCGGGACCTTCTCTGACTCCGGAGGAGGGGAGCTTTCAGGCTCGGCACTGAGCTTCTGACAACACCTGGCTGTGATGAGGAAAGGCTCCATTGAGATGGGGAAAGGGCCACTTTACCGTGAACCCTAGCGAACGTTCATTGCTGTTGGATACATGTCGAAATCCAAGCTTTTCACATGGCCACGGTTGTAGATGGGCGTGAAGACCCTGGCTGCCTGTTGACTCTTCTTTCTAGCGGAGGTGGTGGGTTGTGGGGTTGAAGGGATGGAAGGAAAAGGCCAGTTTAGCTGTTTCTTAAAATAAGCAATAGTCACTTGCCATATGAGTCCTGATGTGGCGCTGTGGGCTAATGCGCTAGACTGCAGGGTCGGTGTGAACCGCAATGGTGGTTCAAGCTCACCATCCAGTTCTTGGAAACTCTATACAGGGTGGCTAAGAGTCAGACTAGACTCAACAGCACTAAACAAGTCCTGGCATTTTTCGTAGAAAATTGAAAATTTTGCTCTTGGTTGCCGGTGAGTTGTTTCTGATTCCTGTGGGCTCCGTGTGTGCAGACAACTGTTAAGGTGTTCGAGGCTGTGACCCATCAATAAACCTGTCTTCTAAGACTCCTGTGAATAGGTTCAAACTGCCAATCAGTGGCTAGGAGTCAAGCACGTAACCACTCAGGGACTCCTAAATGAAAATTCGTTCCAAAACAAAGCCATGTGTGACTGGATGGTGAAACCACCATAGATAAAGCCATGCCCTGGATGCTATTTGTTCTATGAAGGAATTAAGTATTGATCCTGTTAGGGCTGGGATTGGATCCTAGAACATTTGTGTGGTAAATCCTAACCCCTGCCCTGGTGGGTCTTACCGCAGTTTGGATAAGGGTTTTCTGCCACTCAGAACCTTTGTTGAATGAAAGAATGATTGCCGTTAGTTGAGAGAAAAGACTTGGCTTGCGTTTTCAGAAGTTTGGGCAAATGGTGGAAATTGTGAGCCTTGCCCTTTCATTAGGGCAGCAGGCTTCTTATCAGAAACGTCACAGTTCAGTGAATCATTCTGGCCTCCACACTGAACACAACCACTTTTCTGTGGCCCTGTAGGTTGGTGGTTCAAGCCCACCAACCACTCCTTGGAAACTCTTTACAAGGTCATATGAGTCGGAACCGCTTTGACGGCACTTAACTGGGTTTGCAAGGCTGCAAAGTTGTAGGGAGCAGAAAGCCTCATCTTCCTCTGCAGAGCAGCGGGTGGGTTTAACCACGGCACTTAACAACAATAAAAGACTCCTTCATCCGCTGTACGGACGGCGGTTGGAAGATGGCTGCTCCCGGTGCCTTGATTGGAACGGGGCGCGCGTACATGACGTCATAAAGGGACGTTAGCAAACCACCACTGTGTCTGGAAAGTGGCGCAGAGGCTCGGGTCCGGCGCGGTACGCAGGCGTGACGGCGGTGGGGAGCGCGGAGGGAAAGCGTTTAGAGAAGTGAGTCAGAACTGTCTCCATTGGGGGAGACGGAGGTCGTCCGCCAGGTCAGTTTCGGGTTGTGTGCTTGTTTCCGGGGCCGGGGAGAGCACGTTTGGGGTTTTGTGTGGCCGAGTTCTTTGGGGTCCGTGTTTGAGAAAGGAGTGGGGTTTGGGTGGTGCCGTGTTGGAGGGTCACTTGGGGGAGTGTGGTTGGGGTTCACTGGGAACTCGTGGGGTTTTGGTTGGGACGTGTCTCCAGGTCTGTTTGAGTTATGGGTGGAGGGGTGTCTACACTGGAGTGTCTAGTCGCCAAGACCAGAAACAGTAATTGTGAAAATTGACTTTTGGGTCATTCCAATCTACAAATCAAGCCATAAGTGAAGACCAAAACAATAACTTCAATATTGACATTTGTTTAGTTGTTGTTAAAGTGTCAGCGAGTCGATTCCGACCCACAGCGACCCTGTGTAAGGTTTCCGAGGAGCAGCTGGTGAGCTTGAACTGCCGGCCCTGCAGTTCAAACGGCTTTGCAGTCTGGCGCATTAACCCACAGCGCCACACCAGTAGTCAAACCTTATATTTCTAATTATGTTGTTGTTGTAAGCTACACATTAAGCTATACATCTAGACCAAAAACAATAATTTGAATATTGCCACTTGTTTAGTAATTACACCATATACTTCTAATTTACCTATGTTGTTGTGTGCCATCGCGTCAGTTACAACTCATAGGGTGTTCCGAGAGCTAGCTGCTGGTGGGTTTGTACTACTAACCTTGAGGTCACCAGTGCAACTCCAGCGCCACGATATTTACCCCCTCCTTCTAAAACAGAATTTGGAATTGCTTTTGTGCATGTCAGCCTTTTTGCAATTTATAACTCTTGTTGAATATACCGCAAGACGTCCGTGGAGGGATTTAAGCCTTCAAACGCATAGATTAGAAAAGACGGGAGGGTGAAATCAGCGAATAACCATTTCTTTCAGTGGTTGTCCCCCTCTTTTTTTTTTTCTGTATTTTTAAAATCAATATTTGAAAATGCTGGTTTTGTAGATTAAAGTAAAGTGTTCTTTAGTTTTTGATGTATGAGATTTTAAATAACATTTAGATCATCTGTCCTGGAAAGATTCAATAGCACTCCTGTGCCACTGGTCAGGTATTTTTGCTCCTGGACAATTCTCAAGCTTATGGAAGAGTACACAAAGATTCTGTAGTATTCCCATTGCCCATCTTCAACAATTATAATCTAGTTTTATTCATTTATATCCATCTCCATTGATTTTTCTAGAGAATTTCAGAACAAATCTACCTTTTTTTGTCCTTTTACTTATGGATATTCCAATATGCATTTGTATTCTGGTAAGGAGACCTGTGTGGCACGTGGGTTAGTGTGCTGGACTGCAATGTCAGCGGTTCAAACTCATCATCTACTCCTCGGAAACAGTATACAGGATCGCTAGGAGTCAGAACTGACTCAGTGGCACTTAACAAGATCATTTAAAAGTTTATAACTATTGGAACATTGTTTCCGTGTGTCAGAATGTAGTATTCCTTTATTTCATTGAATAAAACCAAACCAGAACTGTCACATAGGATTTCCAAGGCCGTAATCTTTATGGAAAGAGGCCTGGTGTGGCATTTTAGGATCAGCACTGGACTGTTAACCAAAGGTCAGCAGTTCAAACCCCCCAGCCACTCCTTGGAGACCTTATACAGGGTTGCTATGAGTTGGAACTGATTATACCTAACAGTGGTCTTTATATAAGGGAGCAGACTTGCTCATCTTTATCCCAAAGGGTGGCTGGTGGTTCAAAGGAGACTTTTCAGTTAGCAGCTGAGCACTTGCTCACTGCACCACCAAGGCTGTGTTTTCATTGGATTCTCAATCCATGCTCCACTTTCTCTGATCATCTCAAAGTTGGCTTTTAACATTGGCTTGTCTAAATTACCATCCAGATAAATCACATGTATTGCATTTTTGTAATTGCTTCAATTTCTTTTATTCTGTAACGGAGCCTCTGTCTGTGCATGTTCTCAGGCCTCTTAATTAATTATTATTGCAATAATAATTACACACAGCAGCATCTTTGCAAAATGTCTTTCTCCAGGGACTGGTCCCTTCTGATCATTGTTCAAAGTACGGGAGATGCGGTGTCACCGTCCTCCCTTCTAAGGAGCTGTCTGACTCCGCTTCTTCCACAGCAGGTTTGTTGCTTCTTCCGGCAGTGTTCTTTGCCAACACCGGAAATCAAATGCATCAATTCTTCTGTTTTCCTTATTCACTGTCCAGCTTTTCACTTGCATACACTGTTGTTAATGTCCTTGAGTCCGTTCTGACTCATAGTGACCCTGTATAGGGTTTCCAAGCAGTGGCTGGTGAGTTTGAACCGCCAGTTTTATGGTTTAGTTGTCCAGTGCTTACCCTACAGAACCACACCAGGACTCCACCTCCCATGCTTATGAGGTGATACCATGGCTTGGGTCAGGTGCACCTTAGTTCTCAAAGTGACTTCTGACTTTACCAAAAAATGTACATAATGCATTTCTCTAGCTTGTTGTTAAGTGCCATTGAGTCGATTCCAATCCTTTGTAGGGTTTCCAAGGAGCAGCTGATGAGCTTGAACCGCCGACCTTGCAGTTCAAAGGGCTTTGCAGTCTGATGCATTAGCCCACAGCGTCACACCAGGACACCAGCTTGTTGTTGTTAAGTGCCATGGAGTCGGTACAGACTCATAACGACCCTGTGCACAGCAGAAGGAAACACTGCCTGACCCTGGCTTCCTTATTTTGGGATCCATACCGCAGGCTTGATCCTTTGACTCTGGTGTCTGAAATTAACCCAAGCAATCAAGATGCCTTTGTTTTCCAAAATAGCTGGACCAGCAAGGGCAGTTTTGAAAGGGAGTGGACCTCATGTAGTCATGCATATTCATTGATTGAATTGATCATGACTCTGCATTAAGGCCCAATCATGCATATTCACTGAGTTCCCAGTAACATGGGGATCCTGGATTTCTGAACACTGTCTTTGGGAACTCCTGGATTGGTGAAAACATCATGCATGGGAGAGGGATTGGCACACTTCTGGGGACAGTGGAGGTCCCTCCCCTACACACACACACACACACACACACACACACACCCCTCAGTGCTGAGGAGTCCCAGAACTTGCCTGATGCTTCTCTTCCTTTGTATTCCTTCTAGTTAGTAAATGGGTAACTGGAAGTATAGGACTCCTGGTGTGGCGCTGTAGGATCAGTACTGGACTATGAACCACAAGGTCAGCAGTTCAAACCCACTAGCTGCTGCTTGGAAACCCTATATGGGGTTGCTGTGAGTTGGAACAAGCGTAGCAGTGATTGTGAGGTTGGCGCAGGACTAGGCAGTGTTTTGTTGTGTTGTGCATAGGGTCGCTATGAGTTGGTACTGACTTGATGGCACATAACAACGTGAGTTGGATTCAACTCAATGGCACTTAACAACAAGTATAGGTAAAGTTTTCATGAGTTCTGTGTGTCATTCTAGCAAATTGTTGAACCCACAAGGACTTTGAGGGCAAGCAGAGGCTGGCATTGGCATATTTGGCAGGAGCTGGTAGGACAAGTTCTAATTTGTGGAGACCCAACTAGGTTAGGTTAGAGAGAAAATGGCTAGGTTAGAGAGAGAAAGTGCCCTGTGGGTGTATGTTGTTAGAAGGATGAAGTGGGAAATCGGGGAGATGAGTTGTGTTCACATTTTGGAAATTAGCCTTATGTTTCCTGTTCTTTATACACGTACCTTCCTAGTGTGACTGCCCTGTAATGTAAATGCTTCCAGGGTGTTACACAGAGACAGATGAAATACTGAGACTTTATATTACCGGGGAGTCCACATGGTGTGACGGTATAGGGTCTGCACTGGATTTCGAACCACAAGGTCAGCAGTTCAAACCCATGAACTGCTCCTTGGAAACCCTGTACAGGGTCACTATGAATCAGAACCAAGTCGAAGGTACTTCACACAACCACCACCACCACCACCACATAGCTGGAGTGACCAAGAGTTGTGTCTTCCTGTACTTGTATTTGCTCCTGAATCCACAGATTCTGGTCTACAAGATCAGGACATATTAATAATAAGTAGGAGGTTCCCAGCTTGGGAACTCATTGTCTCTGATAACATACTGATCTGACCACAACTTCCACAGAGGTCCCGAGAAGACAGAAGAAGATAGAACACACCCTAGACTTTCTAGTCCTTAAGAACAGAAGATGATGATCAAAGCTCAGGTGAGATTTGTTTATTCCCCAACAGACTTGTGAAAACTTTTCAAAGACAGTTTGAATGAGACAGGATCTGTAGATTAAAACTACGACTTGGTGGAAAATAAATGTAGGTTATGATCTTAAAATCAGGGTGCATCAGGAAGTGAGACATGGAGGCCACTGGAGTCACGTAAAGTTCTTAATGCTGGAACAGAGAGGAGGAACCATGTAAGACCCTGCGCTTTCCTTAGCTAGGAAATTGTGCATGGCGCTCTGGGCAGTCGTGATAACAAAACATGAGGGACAAGATTTGCAAAGTCTATGAGAAGAATACAGAGCAGTTCTTCAGGGGAAGTACACGAGCGACCAAGGGAGAAATGCCAAAGCAAAGCTCAGTTGGAAAAGAAAAATTCCAAAAGTTTGCTTTGACAATAGAGCCTTTCTGGTCTTTCCTATCCCCAAAAGAAAACCTGGATTAGCCACTCGAGCGAATGGACTGCTTGACCTGGAAATGTACCTCCACAAAGAAGAGTTTCCCCAATCAGTTGTGGTTATTAATTTGGCAGGAGACAGACGTTGCAGTTTTGGATTAAAGCTTGGGGTACAGATCTTGACAATGCTGACTTTGCCCCGTAACTCCCAGATCAAAAAGCAAAGTCACAGCAAATCTTGCTTTGATTTTCATATTATTTAATGATTTAGAATGATGTATTTGCATGCAAGAGACTTACGCAAAGAGGAGTATTTGTAGACTAAGAGAACATCATTTGTTTTTTCCTACGCACGTACCAGTCCAAAAGCAGCAAATTTGACTGGTTTGGGACTTCATCCAGTCCTTTTCTTGTTAATTTACATGCTGTAGAACATATCTATGTCTGTTGTTCTTGTTGGGTACTGAGTCAGTTCTAATAGCTATCCTGTATAGTGTCCAAGGAGTGGCTGGTGGGTTTGAACCACCAACCTTGTGGTTAGTGGTCCAGTGCTTAGTCTACATTTATACATATATAGACGTCTATGTACACAAGTACTTAACATTAGAGGACTTAAGGAAGTTCATGAAAATGGAATTAGAAGATAATGGATTTGTTTTCCATTAACCTCTGAAGCTCTCTCATATATGAGGATGAGTAAAAAAAATGTCTGCACTCTGGCTGTAGAATTTAATCAACTTTTAGCAAAGATAATTATATCATTTTTCAACATAACTTTGCTTTCTAGTACACCGCGTTCATCTGTCAACAAGCTTTCGTGTTTCCTAATTAAAAAATGTTTTAACAACTCAAAATGAAGTTTTTGCAGTGTGACAGCAGTGTGGACAGAGGTTTGTGGACATGCATTGTCCTGCAAGATCATCAGGCTCTTGGACAGCAGTGCTCCACGTTTAATCTGATTTCAGCCCTTCAGTGAGCATCTCACTGTTGACTGATGAACATCTTTCCTGATAGTGTTCCATTTCTGGCCCTTGAGAATCTCAGAAACCTGCAAGCATCAATTTTCCAGTTGATGGTTGGCTTTTGAACTTGGTCGGTGATTGAGGATGTTCCCATTCCACACTCTGCCGCGTTCTCTCAGGCTTGTAATGACGACTCCATGCCGTGTCACCAGTTAAGACTTTTTAAAGAAACCTTTACTTTCCTTCGAGCATCAGTCCAAATTTTGTTTTCAGATGTCCTGATGCTTCTGTTTCTGCTCTTCCGTGGCTCGTTTCAGTCCCCACCTCACACAAATTCTTCTAAACCCAGGTCTGTTGTGGAGTACCTCACAGGCCGAGCCATGGCTGATTTGCAAATGATGTGCCACATAATCCATCCACGGTCACTCGTCTATTTGACAGAATCATTTCACGTGCGTGCGCAATGTTGTCATCAACTGTGGACGTGGATGGGTGTTTCACTACAACCGGGCTGTGGATAATTTTTGAGACTCACTCTCATACGTTTCATTGTTTATATTATTAGGACAGCAACATTATTAGGACAGCTTACATGTTTTGAATCATATATAGTATTTAGGAGCCTTATTTATTTTTTTCTTTTAAAAGAATGCTTTAGAGTTAATACGAGTATATCATCTCATTGGCTTCAATATTTAAATGTTATTTCACAGCGAATATATCACCTCATTGGCTTGGATATTTGCATATTCTTTCATACCCTGTCTTCTCATGCTGGGAATTTCAGTCGCCGGTGGCTTCTGACCAGTGTAAGTGGTGAGATGATGACTACACCGGGCTCTGTTGGCGGTGGTTACTGCTTCTTGCTGCTGAGTTGGTTCTGGTCCATGGTGATGCCATGTTAGAGTCGAACGGCTTCAGAGAGCTTTCTGGGCTCCAGTGTTAACAGACTCAGATCACCAGGTCTTGTCTTCTGTGGCAATGTGAAGTGAGTTTGAACTGCTAATCTGTAGGTTATTAATTGAATGTAAACCCTTGGTGCCACAGAGACAGAGGGACCTTGTACCTTGTTTTACATGTGTGCAAATACTGCTTTGTAATTTTTTTTTAGGCCTGGGAGAACTAACTAGGGGAAATCCCTGGTCCTATGGTAGGTGAAATTGTCACAGGGAGCAGAGTTTATCATGGGGAACATGATCTGCATGTGTTCCTGTCTGCCTTGTCCACACCATCTTTGTTATCCACCTGAGAATGCATTGGGATGTGTTATTGCAGGGGTCCTTATCCTTTGAGGATGTGGCTGTGGGCTTCACGTGGGAGGAGTGGCAGTTCTTGGACCCGTCTCAGCAGGACCTGTACAAGGCCGTGATGCTGGAGAACTACAGCAACCTGGTGTCCGTAGGTAAGGGTGGTGTCACGGGTCAGGGCCCTCCTGTGGGCCCCCTTGATTGGCTTCTCAGTCTCATTTGGGGAAGTCTTTAGGGCCCCTGGAGTAGTTTTTGGACTCCACACTTGTAGGCCATAGACTTTTGTTCTCCTCTTTGACCCTAAATTGTGTGTTCTACCCCATTCTAAGTAAAAGGTTTTTACTTAGCATAGTACAAACCCTGGTCCCTAAGCTATAATGTCGTCCAGTTTTCCTAGCTTCCCCAAAGAAACATGTGGAGCCAAGTGTCCAATTATTTCTCTTTTACAGGATGTCAAACTACCAAACCAGATGCAATCTTCAAGTTGGAGCAAGGAGAAACACCGTGGATTGTGGAAGGAGCAGTCCATGGTCAGACCACTCTAGGTAAGTGGGTGACAACCAAGAAACTGAGAAGAAATGGAGTTAGTGAAGGGTTGACACTTTTGAAATGTTTTATGTGGAATTTGTTACCAGCTGATACCTCAGCAATCGAATCAGCCATACTAGCGTCTCCGTTCTCTGTTAGGGTTGTCTTCCGTTGCCTGTTTAAGGGACTGTGTCCCCCTTTTTTCACTTCTGAAACTGATCAGTCTCTCTCCTAGTGACCTAGCTGCACGAGCAGTGCTTCCCTGACCCGAACCCCCCAGACATAGGTGGGCTCGTGTAAGGTAAAGGGCATGGTCCTCCACACTAAGAGTCGGCCTGAAACCCGTGACATGCTCACTTCTGACCTCCTGGCTAGAAACCTAGGTTTTCCCACTCTCTCTTCATGATGCCAGCCAGAAGCCTGGGAGTGTCCAGGGCCTTCCTCACGTCTGACCTCCTGGCTCTGTTGCCTTTGGGTCAGTAATCTGCTGGAATGACTTGCAGAACTTGTGGAAAGCCCTAGGCCTATAGTCACAGTTTTATTGTAACAAGTATGATACTAATGAAGAGATGCAGGTTTGGGGAGACTTCCCAGTGGGGAGGTTCCAGGTTCCATAAAGGAATGTGCTTCCCACCCTCCCGTGTACACTGCTGTGTATCACCAACCAGGAAGCCACTAGAGTTTCAGTGTTCAGAGCATTGAATGCCATCATTGTTGTTAGGTGACTCGAGCACTGTGTCTGTGAGTTTGAGAGTGTTGCAATCTTCCATCGAGGCGCTTTCTCTTTCCTTCTGTGACGTCATGGGAGAGTACTTCAGTGTGCACTTGGAACTCCTCCTTTCCTTAATTCTTTACTGTGCTGGATCCACACCACACTAACTCAGTCAGGATTGTGTTTACAGGTTAGCGGGGGTTTCTTTTTTGTATAGAAAGAAAGATCTGTTTCTTATTCTTGCTTATGTGCCGCTGAGTCGCTTCCAACCCATAGCCACCCTGTATAGGGTTTCTGAGGAGTGCACTAACCTTGCAGTTCAAACTGACCTTTCAGTTGAACACATTAACCTACAGCGCCACACCGGATGTAGGTAACAGTAATTCACTAAGGATGTCACTCACGTTCATTCATCTCATCATTCTTGACTGTTTGCTTTGGTTTCATTGTGCTTCAGTTTGAACTTTGCCTTTGCTTTTCTCTCAGGGATGTAACATTAAATGGCACTAACACTGACACAGATTCTGAAGGCACACACCTAGGAGCTAAGCTCATTCTTCTCTTTCGCTGCCTCTAGCATTTGTTCTAACAGTGAGACTTGTTTTTATCTCCTTCCAGTTCCATTCTTCTTCACCACTGTATGCCCTGGACAGTGTCTAGTATAGTATCTCCATAGAAGTCAGCCATGGCCTGGTATCTCCACAGAAGTCAGCCATGGCCTGGTATCTCCACAGAAGTCAGCTATGGCCTGGTATCTCCACAGAAATCAGCTATGGCCTGGTATCTCCACAGAAATCAGCTATGGCCTGGTATCTCCACAGAAATCAGCTATGGCCTGGTATCTCCACAGAAATCAGCCATGGCCTGGTATCTCCACAGAAATCAGCCATGGCCTGGTATCTCCACAGAAATCAGCCATGGCCTG